GCGACTCACTGGTCCCAGGCAGGGGTTTACTATCCATGACAGAAGGCAGTAGCAAAATGCTGTTGGTGATCGGTACTGAGTATTGCTTTCTGAACCAACACAACGAGAGGCAGACGTCCCGACAGTATGGCTCACAGGCGGGGACTGAATATGCGATGCATTATAAGGAGAAAAACAGCGCCAGATAGGAATGAAAAGTAAAGTTGTTGAAGCTGTCACAAATCTAGTTTTCCTCATTTTTTCCCCGTTTCTTTTTAACAAGTTTCGCGACACCGTCGCATCGCGGCTCATCACTTAGCTTTTAAGATGGACTATGATTGGTCACGGCAGCAAGGGGCGTTCGTACATCCACACCCCAGCACTACCCAGCCCTTCGAGCCATCTGGCTCAGTTCCTCTACCGCTCTCAATATCTGTCGCCAACTTGTCAGCGCCTCCATCCCAAGATACAGCACAGACTGTGCCCCTGACACATCTGAGTAGTTCCGCCCTTCCCACTGAAAACATTCCTTTCTACGGTATGGTACCGGAACCTACCTTGAATTCCTGTCCTTGGGGTTATCCACGTTGTCCAGGCCACGACTGGTGTCCTGTCTTACACCCTCAACAACACTCCACCAACTATAGCTCCATTGATCGCCCAATTTCAGACACAACCCTGTTCCCGTCCACCCAAAGCACCTTTTACCAGCAATGCACCCAGGCAAACCCACCTATAGGCGCAAATATCTACTCATATGAGGATATCCTGCGTTGCCTATTGCCGAGCGAACGATTCATCTTCGAAGAAAGACTGAAAAACACATCATGGGAAAAAATTCTAAGAGAACACAATCAACGCTGGACCCCAGTTAACCATCAGACTACGCTCATGAACAGGCTGAATAAATTACGGGAGAAATATGTTGTCATCAATCAAATCCTGCCATCAAGGACAGGGACCGCTAAAAGGTTAGGACACAATACACATGCGGTTGGAATCCCATGTGCTACCTGCGGGTTGCAGAATTACTAAGACCTCACGAGATCTACTAGAACTACGTTTCGTTACAAATCAAGATGATACTCATAAGTCAAAACCTAGATGTTACAGCTTGGTCTGCGCGACGGGCCAGGCGAGAGGAGTCTCAGTTTTGAGCGGTTTGTTTGCATGGTTGTTTCGCGAGCTCGGTTTCCAGTTGCGGGATTGAATAGTGTCTTGAAAGTTTACTGGGGCGCTATTGAGAGCTGGCGTTCATTTGAGTATAATAAATGCGAGCTTGGGACAAAAATTAGGCAATGGACGTACATATTAGTGATAAGTGCCACCCCATCGTCTAAAATAGGCCACGTGGTGGAGCGAAGTGCTATTGTATTCTAGTATAATGATAATTTAGCAGGGTAAGCGGTCTAAACAGTAATCACAACTTATGACCTAGCCATAAAATAGGCGCCACAGTTTTAGTATAATTTTAGTGATTCCAGGTAGCTTGTACATTTCCATCCGAATAAGATAGCAAAGTTGAATGGAAGGATGAAGAAGAATACAGCGAAGTACACTTCATCATATAGCACAGAAGCGCAAACACAAGCAATTACTCACCCCTTTTCCTGGTTCCGATAAAAGCTATGGCGAGTTGAACCACAAAACATGAGAAGATGCTTATCTTTTCCTCGCACTGCAAGATGAAAGAGGGGTGCTACCTTGGCACAAATGGTATGTATTTATCCTTTCTTTTGATAAGGAGCCGTAGGATCTCCCCTAAACTAATCTCTGGACACATGAGTATCTGTCGCAAGGTATCACCTAAACTAGCTAAGGATTAAAAGAGACCGATATTGATGATTGGGCGAACACCTGCCCAGTCTTTATAGTTTCGAAGGAAGCGCCGGGACCTCGTCCAGGTTTCTAAACGCACGTAGACCGTTCATG